ATTCGGCCTTCGGCCCAGTGTTTCATTTTGTTTGGCTTCGGCCAAGAATTTTCATTTCGGTGCATCCCTACTTTTATGGTGCTTTTTTTGATGGTGTTTTGTTATTTTGAACTGCTTTTGTATGAAAAAGATCTATGTAAATATTCTTTAAAATATCACATTTTTGGACATGAGTGTGAGTAAATAATGACAGTTTTTAGGTTGGCTATTCATTTCAATTGAACTCCAAAAGAATTAGTAATCGAAACGTTTCCATACCACAAACAAAATAAAATAGCATTTAAAAAAAATAAAATAGCATTTTATTATTTATTTATTTATTTTTAATTTAATTCTAATTTAATTTTTTATTTTTAACTTTAAAATAAAATAACATTTATTAATTTTTTATTTTATATATTTTTGTATTTTGATTTTTTTAATAATTTTATGTATTTATTTATTTTTTGTGAGTAAATAATGCCAGTTTTTTTTTTCAGGTCAGCTATTCATTTAAATTGAACGCCAAAAGAAGTAGCAATCAAAACGTTTCCATATCACAAACATAAATGTGATCATTGGCTGTGAAATTCAACTGTGATTTTGCTTGGTTTCTTAAAAAAAAAAATAGGTATTTTAGGTTAAGATTTGAGATCAAGCTGTGTTGTTGCAAAGGAGATTTATTTTAACCTTATTGCATATTAAATCAAGCTTGTTGTTTGGTAACACTCTGCTTTGAACAGCACGTGCAAGATATGGGCAAAGTTCTTTCCAGATTTCCATTTTTTTTTTAGACGTCTGAGAGCTGTGTGAATTGCTGTGAGTGAAAGAAATGTGGATTAAACAACAATCTTCTCAGCAGTGGAATTCATCAGGCTTAGGCAGAAGAGAAAAATCTCATTAGTTGCACCGCCTGGTAATGAGATTGAGTGGCAGTTTAGAGTAATATTAAATTTTAGTTACCGTTTATGAATGAAGAAGAATTATTATTTTTTGATTCATTCCATCTGTATTTCATGGGCAACATGTTCCTCTGTCTGCATACATTACATGCCATTTTTCACAATCAAAATCCTCTAAGAGGCAGAGGCTGTGAATTGCCTCACGGAAGGTTTCATCAGCAGTCTTGATGAAACTTGAAATTACAGTGTAAAATGGCATTAATTAGCATAAATTCTCATGTTGTGTGTAACTGTAGGTGCTGTTTATGAACCATAGACGTGTGCGTGTGTTTTTTAGTGTTTTTTATTTTAATATATTTGAAAAAGCATTTTATTCTTATGATGACAAAGCTTGATTTTTAGCAGACATTACTTTAGCCGTTAAATCAAATGAAAAATGGTGTGTCTGATTGGTCCAGACGCTACACATGTAATACTTTTTTTTACACTTAATTTAACATTAACTTTAACAGTTAATTTAAACCTTTTTTATGTTTAACTAAGTTATATTGAACGATAGAAGTTCTCCAAGGGCCTGCCGAGTTATGCCATCACACTCAGGAAAGGTGAATTCTGGGGGTCTGTCTGCCATGGTTTGATGCTTCCACATGTCTTTATGTGAAATTGCTATTTTGTGCTGTGTTATGATATAATATCTTGTGTATGTTGCACACACACCTGCACTCTGGGGAATCCAACTTTACATGCACACTGTGCCCACTTCACTAAATCCAGATCTAAAGTCTTTCTTTTGTTTTTTTTCTCCATGATGAACAGACTTGCTGGTGGATATGCTGGGAGTTCTGGCCAGCTACAGTATCACCGTCAAAGAACTCAAATTGCTCTTCAGCATGCTGAGAGGAGGAGGAGGATTGTGGGTAAGCCAATGAAAATGAGTGAAAACTCATGTAGGGCTCTGGGGCTCCAAGGGGTTGTTAGCTTCACCGCTTTTGGAGATCGTTGAGCCTTTTTAGACCTCTAGAGCAATCAACCGCAGAACAGATCAGGCCTGCCCAGGTATCGATTCACTGTTCTCTCGAGTGAGGGATATTGACTGAACATCGAGTGCTGGCGGACACCACAGTGAGGATGTTGTGACAATAGTTTTCAGTTTTTGGATAGAGCGAAGTACCCCTCTGGAGTCAAAAAGCGAGACTCGTGCGAGGACTTGGGCTGTAATGAAACAATTAGTTATGAGACATGAAAATGGAATGTTTTGATGAGCATGTGTTTTCATTATCTTGTCAAAACAGGTGAGAATACGACAGATTGGATCAATGTTCTTAAATCAGTACTGATTTAGTGAGGCAAAACGTTAAATTTAAAGTTGAACATTTCAGAAGTTCTTGCTGAGAAGGTCCTGAGGGATTTTAGTTATGGTGATTTGGTTTTTCCTTAAGTCACTTGTCTCACCTCTCACGTACTTCTGTCTTCCACAGCCAAGACATGCAGTCAAACTGCTCTCAGTTCTGACTCAAATGGCACAGAGACACGGACCAGACACTTTCTTTAACTTCCCTGGCCGAAGTGCAGCTGTGAGTGACCCCCGCTTTTTAGCCTTTTTTGCATTTCCTTTGAATGCATATCTCAGTTGTTGTGAAGTTAAATTAAAAGTTGTTTTGAAATGGTTATTTTCACAGTATGGTTAACTAATAAATAACCAATATTAAATCACAAAAAATTTTTGTCTAAATAAATAAATACAAAAATGTAAAGCAATCCACTACAAATAAATGTATATTTCACATTTATAATGCAGACAACCGTTCAAAAGTTTGAGTCGGTAAGGTTTTTTTAATGCTTTCGAAAGAATTGTTTTAAGCTGATCAAGCCTGCATTTATTTGATGAAAAATACTGTGCAATGTTATTACAATTTAAAAGAACGGTTGTCTGTTTTAGTATGTTATAAATTTCAATTTCAGTGGCAAAGCTGAATTTTTTTAGCAGCTATTACTCCAGTCTTACATGATCTATCAGAAATCATTCTGCTGATTTGGAATAATAATAATAATAATAATAATAATTCTTATTATCAATGGTGCCTCTTAATGTTTTTATGGACATTTTTCCAGTATTTTTTAATGAATAGAAAGTTCAATTTAGCATTTACTTTAAGTCGTCACTGTCACTTTTGATCAATTCATCCTTGCTGATTAAAGTATTAATGTCTTTCAACAAAGGAAAAATCTTACCCAATTTTTGAATGGTAGTGTACATTGACAAATGCTGACATTTATTTTGAGATTTAATAAGGATTACATTTAACAGTTTTATTATATTTTTAATTAAATCCTTAGTGCTTTTAAAGAATAACTTTAAGTGCAGCAAAAGTAAACTAAAAGTAAAATTAGAGTGTGCATGTCTATATATGTACACTAACAAATGTTGGGTTGTTTCAACCCAATGTTGGGTCAAATATGGACTAACCCAACTGTTGGGTTAAA